TCAAAAGGCATAGTCCCGATGTTACCAAACCACACGGCAGGCCATTAACTTAAGTCCATTGTAAGTCCCGAGGTCGGCAGAGCATGGCAGGCTGCTGAACAATGACACAGCTACATGCAGGGTTCAAGGTGCCTTTGGCTAGAGACCATTCCCAAGGCTTCTCCTTATATACAGGAAGCAGACCACATCCCCAAAGGCAACTACTCAGCTGCTTGTGGTAGATCCTACCATGGAGTTGATTGCCAGTCTCATGATGGGGAATAACTACCACCAGCTGCCCAGCCACTCAACCAGGCCCAGCCCAGTTGACACACAAACATAACCACCACAGTGATTAATTAGAAAAACAAAAGGATTGTGTCCATATTGTCCTCCAAATAGATATTGTGCGAATGGTGTAGTGGGGGGTGTGGAAACCCCCCTGAGTCACAGGGGAGGAGGACCAAGATCACCAGCCCCAGGCTGATTCTTCTAAAGCGGAGGTCAGCCATGTCTCCTCTCTCCAAACTTTTGACCATTTTTGACACCAGCCATCCATCCCAGACACTCCCTACCTCCTGGCTGGGTTCCATAATTCATTGCAATGGCCGTACAGAGCTCAGACAATACAGGTTTCCCTGCTACCCGACAGTAGAGCGTGCCTATGAACCTTTCATGAGCCACAGTGGCATAAAACAAAGAAGCAGTTACCATTAATCCATTTGGGAACTTTTTTTAGTGTTCTCGGACCCCCAAGATAACCTACCAAATCAAACCAAATAACATATAAAACCAACAATAACTCTAACATAGTGTTCAAAATGTTCAAAACTACGGGGGCTGGACGCCAGGACACTGAGTGTAGTTCCCAGGGGGAAGAAGCTTGGTGAGGCCACTCTGGGTACGTGCTGCCTTTGATTTTTCATTTTTATTTTTAAGTTTTATTGTGATTTGGGTGAAAGTTTCTAGAGCAAATTCATTTTCCGTACAGCAGCGCGTACACATTTTGTTTCCTGACATAGACTGCAATTCCCCACAATGCAACAGCTCTCTTCCCACTTCCTCCCTGTAGTGACCTCTTCCCTGTGCCCTTCCCTCTCCTGCACTCCTGTCCCCGAGCTGTCTCCCTGCACAAACACTGCCCTTCTGTTCTCCCATGACTGACTGCTCCAGGGAGTGCATCTACCTGGTGTAAATGTTCACCCCACATGCCTGTCTGTTGTTTGGCTGGAAGCCGCAGGAGCGAGTTCAGTTCCAGACCTGAAGGGGAATTAGGGGCCAGCATACTGCAAAACCCAGGCTGCACGCTAGTTTTGCTTTTCACTTTGTTTTGTAAAAGCAAAAACCCTCTTCGGACTTGTTTTGCTTAGTGAAAACAAGTACTGAAGCAGAGTGGAATTTTGAGAAGCAGAGTGTCTGTGCTCATGACTGTGGGGTTTCGTAGGGAAGTAACAGGTTGTGCTTCAGGATCCAGAATGGATCAGGACACAGTTCTCGGGCAGGGCAGCGCTGCTCCCTACCCACGGGAAGCCTCTCTGGCCTCTTGGCCTCTTGCCCCCCAGCCCCGCCTCTGCCCTGCCTGGGCAAGCTTTACAAAGCTCACTTAGCTCTGCCAATACGTGCCCAGAGGCAGCCCACCGCCCCACAAGCCTCCTGCCGACGGCGCTGAGCTCTCCGGCCCTGTGGGCCAGGGAGCCCCCCACGCTGCCTCCTGCTGGTCTCCTGGTTCCTCAAAGGGCCACGTTAGGTAATTCCCCACATGGCAGACATGGGTATGTTCATTCTGTGAATTCTTGAATCACGGACTAGTTTTTTGCCAGGGTCTTTTATTGGACACACACTAAGGCGGATAAAAGTCAACCCAGAATATTTCCTGGGAATGAAAGGGTCAAGCAAAGTCAAGGGCAGTGATTACAGAATGTGGCAAATACAGGGACCGAAGGCTACCTTTTAGGGGGGTGTGTTTGAGGTGGACAATAAATCAAAAGAAACAAATAAAATTACATTTTATTGATTTATAAAACATGGCGTCAGGAAACACAAATATAAAAGAATCCAGTCATGAGAGGGTTAAGCCACTAAGTCTCTGGTAACTTGTTCCGGGAAAGAAGGGTTGGAGTGGGTTTTGGCTCAGCCGACCAGCTAAAGGAAGGAGCGTATCACTTGTTCTAGGGGCACCTTGGGGGAGAGATGGGAGGGTCCGGGGACAGGAATGAGTCTCTTAAAGGGTTAAAGATTTGAGGGACCAGCAGAGGGTCCCCAGCCCTGCCCTTGGGCAGTCAGGGTGTCTCTGCAGGGGCTGCTCCATGTGGGAGACAGGAGATGGAGGAGGTGGAGACATCCGCCCAGGTATGCCCATCCCACCGGGTCACACGGGAGACCCCTTGAGGAAATAGCCCAGGAAGCCCGGAGTCTCCGTCTGTGCCTACCAGAGGCATATCCCCATGAGTCCTCAGCTTTGGACTTGTTTTGGGCCCAACTTCAACCTGGAAGCGTTGGGTCCAGTATGACCCCCGCGCTGGATGAACCCGGAAGCCCACAGCAGGGTGCCCACAGCCCAACACCAAAAGAACGCCCTGGGGGAGGGGCTTAATTTGTGGGGGAAAGGACCACGTGGCTCCCCACTCCACACCCAGCCTGTTCCTCAGTGTTCGGGGCTCCCAGGTGCCCCTGGGCTCAGAGGCTGCCTGGAAGCTGTTCTCCCAACTCAGAGAAACCCTCACCTTCCCGGGGAGCGCCCAGTTTATGGGGTGACTATCTTGCCACTGGCAGATATTTCCAGGTGTCACTTTCTCAGGACTCTATCTGAGGAGGGTCTTCTGCCTGTTGAAGGGACAGGTGGACGGGTGGGGTACAGAGGCAGCCGGGCATAGGAGAAACTGCGGCACAGAGGGGAGAGAGAGAGGGAGGAAGCCAGGGAGGAGGAGGAAAAAATAGGGTGTACCAGAGATGGAAAGAGGTGAGGAGAGAGTGGGAGGGAGGACAACACGGAAAGCAAGCCGTTATTTGGACCCATGGCGACCCCACGCGGCAGAGGGTTTTCTGTAATGTTTACAGGAGCCCGTCATCAGGCCTTTTTCCTCTGCTACTGCCAGATGGGTTCGAACCACCAGCTTCTGGATAACAGCCAATAGAAAAGCTGCTATCCAGCCGGCCATCTAAGGAAGGTACAGCAGTCGTCTCTGTTTGCCTCGAGCAGCAGAGGAAGGCGAGGGGAGACTAGGAGGAGGTCTGGAAGGTGTGGCCGACTGCCACCATGAACAACTGCCTCCTTTGTCATGAGACCAGAAGAACGGGATGGTGCCCAATTCGTGACCGAACATTTTGATGAAAGATTCCATAGAAGAATCCTGATCAAAAGGGGGGAAATGCAGAACAGAATTGAAAATTCTCAATGACTCTAGACTTTCTGGAGCTGTAGAGGGTGGATGAACCCCTGAAAGGATTGCAATGAGATACTCTTCAAACCTTAAACCAAAAATATCCCCCGAGGTCATCTTAAAAGCAAACAGTAGTTTACTGACTAAGGTCTGCCTTCAGCGCCAGGCTCTTTTAAGACCTGTCTACATGGGATCCACTCGACAACACAGTTCTAAAGATGAGATAGGAACCTAGGGGGCGGTGAGTTGATGTTAACGAGAGAAGAACAACTCAGAAAAGGGGGGTGAGCATGGCTGTACACCTCAGAGACTCACTTCAATGTCGCTGACTTGTAAATAAGACACTGCTGAATTGTTGCACAGTTTGCTGTATATGTTCTTAACAACAACAAAATGAATGAGATTTAGGAAAAGAAAACCCTCTTGCTGAACACCCAGGCATCCAAGGAGAGTGGCAGTGAGCGAGGGTGGGGAGGGGACTGAGACAAGAAAAGAGGGCAAGGGGCAGAGGGCAGCAGAGACAGGTAAGGTACACAACAACAACAACAGGGGAGGGGAGGGGAGGCGCCTCGGGGTTGCCAAGGCCGTGCCCTGGACCCAGGCTCTGCACACCTGGGCCTGCTGGCAGCCGGCCCGCCTGAGTCACCACCGGCTGCCCAGAGTGGTTCCGGGCAGCAGGACGCCGTTTCGTCCAGGGGAAGCTCACTGAGGCTGACACGGGCCCAGATGGGAGCGGGCTGGCAGGCTCCAGGCCGGGCTGGGGACGTGGGCTGGATGCGGGAGGCCCGAGGTGCTGTGGCCTGAGACGGTGCCCCCATCCTTCAGTGGGACAAGCCGGGTGACTCAGCCCACAGTGGAAGACTTTCCAGCCTCAGCAGTGAGTCGGGACAGGAGTCAGCTCCTGGGAGTGAGGGGCTGAAATCCGGAGACAGAGCTCCAAGGCGCTGGCCCCGGCAGGGCACGCCACCCGCCAGGTGTGCAATCCCCAGGAGTCAGTAGCTACTGGACCAGATTTGGGTCAAGAGGGTGTCGGTGGAAGGGGGAAGCGTGTCTGGGTCGGGGGGGGGCAGGCAACACCTTACTCTTCTATGGGGTGGATCTCTCCCAGCCAGCCTCCTTTACTCTGGCCTCCCTGGTGGGAAGGGGAGTGTGGGAAGGGATGGGAGGAGTCGGAGGCCGGAAGGGTCAGAAGTCAAGAGGTTGCACCGTAGGTGGAAACCAAGGGTCTATTCCAGCCCCCTGTGGCCAGGACCTGTCCAACGTCACGGCCATCTCTTCCGAAGTATCCCCCACTGAATCTCTACTTCCCAAGGTCACGGGGTGACAACAGGCACTGTGGAATAAATAATTTATTGAAACGGGAGGAATAAATAAGATGGGTGGGAGGGATTACAAACAACTGTAAAAATCATTCACATTTACACACTGTACACAAACGCGCTTCCGGGCCCCAGCGGCGCACGCCTGGGAGGCGCCCTTCCAGCCGGAAGTGATCCCTGCGCGGGCGCGCGGGCGCCCCCCAGAGGTAGACGGCTTATTTACAGCGGAGGAGACACACGTGGTCCAGGCCCGCCGCGTCCCTGGAGTCCTGGTCTCCCCAGATCCCAAGGAGCTCTCCCAGCCAGGCATCTCCAGCCGGCCCTAGGAGGCCCTGCACGGCGCCCTCCGGACCCCACTCTCCTGCGAGTGGCCTCGGATTTGCACGTCTTGCACAAGCGTCTGGATCCAGGAGCGGTGGGCGGGGAGGCTGATGTAGACGCCGGGCCGGTTCCGTTCTGCACAGCCCTCCCCCCAGCTGATGATGCCGGCCAGGAGCCAGGTTCCGTCCACTTGGCACATCAGGGGGCCTCCGGAGTCGCCCTGCAAGGGGGGGCGGGGTAGGTTAGAAACTCACATGGGGGAGGGAGGGGTGGTGGGGAGTTCCTTTCCAGAACCCATCTTCTGGGAGGCCGACCAGGACGCCAAGGAAGGACACTCCTGCCGTGAAGAGCATCTTGCACGCCCGCTCCCCTTACAGGAGTCCCTGGGTTGGAGGGTCGAGTCCACTGAAACCCCCGTGGGTCTCTGACACGCGTGGGGCCATCACGAGTCAGAATCGACTGGACGCATGTGGCGTTTTTGGTTCTTCCCTCGCAGCCCTGCTAGGCGGGACCACTTATTTCACAGATGAGGAAACAGGTTCAGAAGGAAGGCAATGCCTTCCCCAGCCCATGCATGCTGGGGCTGGAGGCCGGGCTTGGCAGACCCCTTGGGAGGCCACGGATTCCCCCGTGGGTCTATTCTGTTCCTGGCTGTACCCCGGTGTTTAGCACAGGGGCTGCCGCAGCTGAGCTGTGGGGCTTATGCGTGAGAGATGACCAAGTGAATGACGCCTACCCCAGGCCCAGGCCGGTGTTATCAGGGAGGAGTACGGCCAGGTCACACCTGCTTCTGCGTGGAAGCCCAGAGGAGTGATGGAGCCACGCGGGGCAGGGCTAATGCCGGCCAGGGGTACTCACCAGGCAGGCGTCGCGCTCCCCTTCCAGGTAGCCAGCACACAGCATGTCCTCAGTGATGGCCCCCTGCCCGGCTCCCCGCCAGTACAGGCGGCTGCAGACTTCGGAGTCGATTATGGGGACCTTCAGCTTCTGCAGGGTGTGCGGGTGGGGCAGGGGCACTGGGAGCAGGGAGGAGAGAGTCAGGCCCGGGCCCTCCTGCCACCGGCTCAGGGGCCAGCGTCTCGCCATGCCCCTCAGCAGTGTCTGTCAGTCATGCTCAGCCCGATCTAATCTGAGCCCCAGGGCCTCTGCCCCAGACCTGCTGGATTGGAACATGTGGGCACGGGGCGGAAACATCTGCATCTCCAGCGAGCCCTGGCTTGTCCGCTAAATGCTGACAGCCGGTGGTCCAGCGCCCCCGGCTCAGACGCTGCTTTTCCCACCTTGGGGTTGGCTACCCTGTGAGTGTTCGGGGAGTCCACTGGGTGTGGATGACCCTGGATTTCTCCTGCCAGGAACGGAGGAGTCGTGATGCCCTGCCTCGGGCTGGTCCGTCCACACTCCTGGTCTCTAATTCCAGCTCCCAGAGGGATCCCTAAGGATGACTGTGGAACGCTGGCACCTCGGAGGCAGTGAGAGCCCCACACACTCGACCTGGCGTCCTGCCTCTGAATTCTCCTGGGATCTGATAAAGTCTCATTTTCCTTCCAAGTTTCTCCCTCCTTAGTCTTATCTCTCTCTTCCAGCGCCTGCCACATCTTCTTGTATTACCTGCACCGGCTAGTTTCTGCCTGTATCTTTGTCTTGGCTCCCTCTCCCTCCCTCCCTCTCTCTCTCTTCCTCCATCCTTCCCTCCCTCTTTCTGCTCATCTGCTGTTTATGCTTTATTCTGTCTGATCTGTTTCTCAATGATGTTTGTCTTCCAAACACCCACGCCCAGACTTGCTTTGAAAATTGTGTTTAATGATTAGGGAGACAGGATTTCCTCCTGGGAAATTTTGCCTGCAATTGTGGTGTGCAGCCACCAGGGGGTGTCTGTTCCCCTTTGGGATTCCTAGGCCGTTTTCATATTCGCCAGGCATTCAGGTTGACGGCACACATGCCTTTCTTTCACCATGCCTGTGTCATTCAGTAGTTCGGTTTCTCTGGATACTGTTGCCTTGGAACAGAGCCAAAGGTACCTCTTAAATAGAAATGACCTACAGTTGCCCCCAGGTTTCTGTGACTCCCTGGGTCTAGATCCCCAGCCCTATCTCAGTCATGCTGCACCTCTGGCTTTGAGCCTTTGGTACTCAGGTGTCTGTGACTCCGAGTGTCAGCCACCCTTCGACCCAACCACCTTGCTGGAGAAACCTCACCTCCATCATGGGTACTTCCCCAGCCGACAATCCAGCAGTCAGTGCTGGGAAGGAGACGCACGGAGCGGTCCGGGAGGCAGATGGGCAGGATTCGCTCGGAGAACTGGACGGGGTGTTGCAGGCGCACCAGGGCGATGTCAGCACGGGCACCCTCCTTCCAGGAGTACACAGGGTGGGGCTGCACCCCGGCGATCCCCACCTTCTGGGACCGAAGGCCAGGCTCGTCTAGCTGCCAGACCCCCAGCAGCACAGAGAACTGGGACAGCTTGTCCAGGTGGCTGGTGGGAAAGGAGAGAGGGCGGGCTCAGCCAGGGACCCCAGGGTGGCCGGGGAGAGGGCGGGAGGGGCCGAGGTGGAGTCTCCGCCAGGGGGTGCCAAGGATGGACAGAGGCCCGGGTTGAGGCGGGCAGCCCGGAGAATCCGGAGGAAGGGACTGGCTTACGTACTCCTTGAAGCAGTGGGCGGCGGTGACCACCCAGCGGTGGGTGAGCAGGGAGCCCGCACAGTGGTGGGTCCCGTTCCTCCGGATGCTCACAACCCAGGGCCACTCGGCGTCCGCGCTGTCCTCGCCGCCCACGATACGGTTCAGCTGCTGCCGCCTCCCACAGGCCGGGGCCCCTGCGGAGGGAGGCCAGCTCGTCCCTCCCCCAGGCCCGCGGGCTCCGCGCCCCCCTCGCTCAGCCTGTGGTTCTGGTCTTTGTAGCCAGGTCCCCATGGCCCGCCCCCCGCCTTCCTGCTTCCACCTACCCTCTTTCTTTGCTGTTCCTCCTGGAAGACCTTCCTGGCAGGCCTTTCCCTCCACCTCTTAACCCTTCCCCTTCTCGGTCCCGCTGGCCCTCTCTGGCCCACGTGTCCAGGCTCTTTTCGGCCTTCTGGGTCTTCCTTTCCAACCCTATCCTCCGTTGCCTCGCTCCGCACTTCTGACCTGACCCACAAACGGGTACCCAGACACGGGCCCCCCTCCACCTCCCTGCCTCCCCTCCCCTCAGGGCAGCCCCCCAGTACTCACCAGGTATCTTGGCAGCATCCAGGGTAGCTGAGGGCAAGAGATGGACAGGGTCAAGCTGGTGGGAGGGAGCCTATGCCCAGTGGCAAGGGGGCCCTCAGGTGTGGTACCCTCTCCGGTGGCTCATTCCTCCGGCCGCCAGGGCGGGCGTTTCCTGGTGCCTTGGGTCCTTCCTGTGCAGCTGTGGCCTTACCCTCACCTCCTACCAGCTTCCTGTCTGGAGCCAAGCTCCATCCCACCTGCAGGGGCAGGACCCAGCCTGGGGCATCTCTCAGTGAGCACAGAGCTGGGTGTGGGGAGTTCAGGAAACAGAAACATGGGCCCCCTGGGCTCGCGTTTGATCTGACTCTGAGTGCGAGAACGCGCACCCCCCCCAAGTGTCTCACAAACACACACACTGAGTGCCTCACACACACACAGTCTCCCATAAACAGTGTCTCTCAGACACACACGCACACAGTGTCTCTCTCACAGAGCGTCTAGCTCACATTGTCTCTCACACACAAACACCGTGTCTCACTCAGTGCCTCTGACACAGTGTCTCTCTCACAAACACATTGTCTCTCACACACAGTGTCTGCCTCACACACAACAGTGTTTACCTCACACACACGGTGTCTCACACACTGTCTCTCTCTCACACACACACACACACACAGCTCCCCCTTTAGGCCCAAGGCCCAGATGATGCTACTACCTTGCACCCTCCCCGCACCCACACCTGTCACAGGACCCAAACGTGCCGACCCCAAGAAGCCAGGAGAAAACATAAGAGGAGGGGAGACAAGGGAGGAAGAGGAAGGTGATGATGGTGAAGATAACAAACAACAGCTAGGAGAGCCGAGGCATCCCGAGCCCCCACTGCGCGTCCCGAGCCCCCACTGTGTGTCCTAAGCCCCCACTGTGTGCTAGGCCCTGACTGGGTGCTGACCTGTGTTTTCGCATTTAGTCCTCACAGCTGTAGGGAAAACTGAGGCACAGAGCCAAAGGAGAGCAGAAAACGAGGAGAGGAGAGGCCTGGCTTCCAGGCCGGAGGGGAAGGCAGGGCTGGGCTGGGAGGCAGGGCACCAGGTGCTCGACTCACCTCCCGAGGCCAGAAGCAGCAGGGCGGCTAAGATCTGGAGGCTGCCCCCACCCAGAGTCAGGGGGGATCTGGAAACTACCATAGTAGGAGTGGCAGTCTCTAGAGACCCGAGGGCTCTGCTGGCCAAGGCAGGCAGGCGGGCGACGGTCAAGTGTGAAGACTTCCCTGAAGGCCAAACCAGGTTTTATCCCAGGAAGCGGAATGTGGTTGGACCAGTCCCCCCAGTGGTTCAGTCCCTGCCACTCTGGGCTGGAGGAAGAGGGAGGGGGTGGAGTTTAGGGGAGGAAATTAGCCGTTACAGGCCTGGGGGGTCTGTCTGAGACCCTGCCTGTGGCCTGGAGCTCTGAGCTGGGGCTACGACTTTGGGGCAGGGGCCTCCAGCTTTGGGACTCAAGGCTCCAGTTCCTACTCGGGGGGTGCAGGACTTGGCTTCCAGAGGGGCAGGCCAGAGGGTCTGGGTCAGGTGCTTGGGCTGTGGACTTGACATTGACTCTGAGCGGGGCAGAGAAAGGTCCCCACGGTGGTGAAAGGCAGAGGTCTGGGTGGGAAGGGGCTCAGATCCCGGTACCTGGGTCTGCAACAGCTGAAATCTGGGCTTGGGGTGTTCGGGGGCCCCCAGGGCCTTGTGGTGGTTGGGCTGGCGAGGGAGTGCCAGAGGGCACACTAACGGGGTCTCCCAGCGTGACTCAGCTGGGCCACCCAGGGCCTTGGAATCCCGTTAGCCCACTTCCGGGAAGGCTGAGTCAGGCCCGAGCTGGGCGGCTGCTCCCGGTGGCCGGGCACCCATCCCATGCCAGCTGTGCCTTCCCAGAAAGTGGCATGTTGCCTTCTTGTCATGTCCCTGGGGTGGGGCTCAGCGAGGTCACCTCTCACCTGGATGCCCTGGCCAGCCTCAGGTGCCCAAGTGGCTGTCAAGATGAGGGTTGGCAGGAAAGACCATGAGTGTGTGACCAGGAGCCCCCTTCCCGGCCACCCATCCCAGGCTAGCAACATCCTGGAAGTCGCCACTGTGGTGCTCGGGGCCCTCCTCAGCCTGCAGGTCCTGCAGGTCACTGTGATGGTTCCCCATGGGGCCTACCCTCTGGGGTCACCTTGTGCTGCCAGAATCCTGACTCACCGCCCAGAACTCTTGCGACACCTGCGCCCCAAGCGGGACCCGCTCCCTCCGCCTCCACTGGGACCGACCCGCCACAGTCCACCCCATAATCCCCAGGCCTCGTGCTGGGGCTGGAAGGTGGGGAGACGACCACAGAACACCAGTAACAGCATCAGGCTTCCGCTCCCGTCACGCCCGGGCCCCCTTCTTGTTCCCACTCTGCAGGTAGCACACTTCAGCTCGGGGAGCCTGACACCCGGCGTCAGGGAGCACAGACTAGAACCCAGCTTCTGTGTGCTGCTCGCTGCTGCCTAGACTCGACTCAGGGAAGCCCTCAGGGCCACGATCCCGTGGGGAACGAAGGGCGACAAACCATGATCGCACAGGGACATGGTTTTGGGGAGCCGTCTGACTCCAACTCGGGGGGTCAGGAGGGCTGCCCAGAAAAGGAGGCATGGATGCAGACCTGGAGGGGAACGTGGAGTGGGGCTGGGGTGGCATGCCTGCAGACGGGAAAGAACGGGACAGGGCTCCCAGGTGCTCGCAGGTCACCCAGCTGGAGGCTGGAACGCAGGGATGGGGACCCAGGGTCTGCTGGCCAGCCTTGCCTCCGCAGGTCAGTTCACTGCCAGGGCCCTCCACCCCGACTGGTTCACCCCAGAGCTGTCCAGAGTCTGCCCTGGGGCTGGACCCGTTAGCATCAACTTAGCGTTGGCTGGACCACCAGGCCCACACAGGATGGGTCCTGTCTCTCGGGCAGGGTTCTCAGATTCTGTAACAGAGACTGCCCATGGGAAGCGTCACTGTCCAAAAGGACGGCTGGGAGGACAGGAGCCCTAGTGGCACAACGGCTAAGCGCTCAGCTCCTAAATGGAAAGGTAGTGGTTTGAAGGCACCAGCCACTCTGCTGGACAAAGCTGGGGCAGTCTGTTTCCGTGGAGACTGACAGCCTTGGAAACCCTATGGGGTGGTTCCCCCCGTCCTGCAGTGTGGCTAGGAGTCGGAATTGCCTCAGCGGCGTACGGCTGCCTGCTTGGCTGCTCTGTGCCGGCTCCAGGACCCACGGTGACGAAGGAGACTCAGGCCCGTCCCTCAGGAAGTGCACGTCCTCATGGGGCGGGAGGCTGGTGACCAAGTGTGCAGGCATGGGCAGGGGCCCTGGGACCCAGGAGGGGTGTCACAGACGGCGGGAGCGTGGACAGGGAGCTCGGCGACCACCCTGACGTCGGGTGGGTGTGCTGTGCTCCTGGGTGAGGAGATGTGTTGCAGGGCTGGAGGGCCTGGTGCACGCCGGGTCGCGGCAGACGTTTGTGGAATGACTAAGCGAGCGTGGAGGAGGGGTCTGGAGGGTTCCGCTGGCATCCGACGGCTGCAGCCGCCTCTCCGCCGCCCAGTTTCTTCTCCATTCCCGGTTTCGTGCATTTCTTAGGACCTGGCCCACCACCCTGATGACCCAAGGGCCAGGCACGTGCGCCCAAGATGTTGCTGCCCCAGGATGGGTGGCTGGGAAGGGGATTCCGAGAGGAAGGGCCTGAAGGAGCCAGGACAAGTTCTCAGAAGTGAGGGGTGTAGCTTCCTGGAACTAGTGCTGGGGAAGTGCGAGGCCCTGGAGAGCCAGGGGTGGAGAGCCTGGGATGAGTCAGCATTCATTCGAGAAAACATCAAGGGCCTACCGTATGCCAGACCCACACAGGGCATCCTGGCTGGGCATCCCCTCACCTGCGATGAGCCATCCATACATGCCACCTACTCCATGTCTCAGGGCCACTAATTAATTTATACTAAGGTGTTGATGACTGATAAGGGTGCAAAGGCATGGACGTGTTCAAAGCAGTTGGAGCTGGCAAGGCTTAACCCACCGAGGTGACTCAGTGGTGACATCTCAGACGTGGGCATGGGAGTGGGGGGAGAGCGTGAGAACCAGAGTCTCCACTCATCCCATCCAACCCTGCAGACATCCACAAGGTGCCAGAGGCTGTGCCAAGCCCTGGGGCAATCAGAGAGAAAAACAGGAAAGCAGGACCCCGTCCCCGCCCTGTGAACCCAGCCAACAGCTGTTCACTGAGCACCTCCTCTGGGCCAGGCCTGTTGGAAGAGCCCTTAACAGACCAGAGGAAGCCCTGCCTCCTGCAGCTGACACTGGGGGAAACAGACCATCAGCAAAACAAACAGGTGACTTGAGACAGGTGGGGCTGGCTGAATCAAGCAGCCTCAACTCAGGATTCTTGGAATAGTTACGGAGCAGACCACCACGTCTGGTCTGCCGGCTGCAGAGACCTGCTTGCAATGAACCAGCCAGGCCCTCAGGCAAGATAAGAAGCCACACTTCAAAAGCCCCACAAGCTTGGCCAGTTGTGAGATGCTGGTTACCCCTCCAGAGCTGTCCTTCAGGTTCCTCACCAGGTGCTGAGCGTGTCGGGCAGAATTCAACTTGACCCACAAAGGGACCTTCCCCCAGAGGCAGTCAAGGGCAGGAGTCCCTCGCCAGGACTTGAACCAGGGTCCAGGGACATCGTGAACGTGCACCATCCCAGAATAAGTCCTGTCAAGCATGCCAGCAGCCTTCTCGGCGGGTTCCACCTCCGTTCTCACAGCCTTTGCGGTGGACTCCATCTTGGCTACTTCCTGCAAGCACACCTGATTTTCATCACCGTGCCTTTTCCTCAGGAATCCCTGCCCGGTTCATGAATAAGGATGATGTCTCCCCACCCCACCCTCCACCCCCTAAAACCCTTTATAAATCCTGGGAAATCCTTTGTTCGGTGAGAGATTGGCATCTAGAGACGGTGAAAGCCCGTCGTCTCCGTCTCTCCGTCTCTCCCTCTAGAGGCCCTCCTCTCTCCTCTCTCTTTCCTTGGGTTTGTGTGGACATTGTTCAATTCCTTGGGAGCTCTGCTAACGTAGTGCCTAAGGCACTTGACTGCTAACCAGAAGGCTGGTGGTTCAAACCCACCAGCCACTCCTCGGAAGGAAGATGGGGCAATCTACTTCTGCAGTGATACTGCCTCGGAAACCCAAGGAGGGGTCGCTATGAGTCAGGTCCGACTGCACGGCACACAACAACGACAACAGTTCAATTCTTTGTCAGTGCAAGGGAAGGACCCTGCTCAGGGTCCCCAGGAGCCTGGCAACACTGTTGTTGGTTCCCGTCGTCAGTTCTGACTCACGGTGCACCTGTGTGGGCAGGACCGTGCTCCTCCGGGTCTCCAAGGCTGTGAGCTCTTGGGAGCAGATCACATGCCTGTCTTCTCAGGTGCCTCTGAGTGGGTTCAAATCACCCACCTTTTGGCTAGTAGTCAGTGCTTAACCATATGGGTCACCCGGGCACTCCCCTGATTTAGTGTAAAATCCATTAAACCCACTGCCATCAACTCGTATCTGACTAAAAACAACCCTAGAGGGCACAGTGGAACTGCCCACAGGGTCTCCAAGGCTGTCAATCTTCACGGAAGCAAAGCCCAAACCACGCCCACTGTCCTGTAGTGGATTCCGACCCACAGCGCCCCTAGAGGACAGAGTGGAACTGCCCACAGGGTCTCCAAGGCTGTCATCTTTATGGAAGTGGACGGCCTCATCTTTCTCCCAAAGAGTGGAGGCTGATGGATTCAAACCACCGATCTTTCAGTTAACTGTCCAGCGCTTTAACCACTTCACCACCAAGGCTTCTTTAGTGTGATAGATAATAAAGTCTACAGAGCAAATTAGAGCAGGGATAGGTTGTTGGGGAGGGGGTTGAAGTGGGCAGGGTGGGGGGCAAGGGGCTGCAATCTGAAATGAGCCCAGGAAGCTTGTCATTGGTAAGGTGACTTGCAGGAGAGGAGAGAGAGCTGCCTGGCCAGCCAGGGAGGCCAGCGCAGACAGGGACGGTGATAGCAAGGGCTGGAGGTGTGTCGGGCCACATGGGGCCAGCGTTGAGGGGCCGGGACCAGGAAGCCTGGTTGAGCACATGAAGGTCTTTGGGACCTGAGAAGCCAGTGAGGGGGTGG